TCCATGGGCTCACACTGCCCTCTGCCTCAGGATAGGCCAGGACAAGGTGTGCACTCTTCTGCTCTGCATCCTCTCCTCTCCTCTCCTCCCTTCAGCCCAGCCTCGGATTCCCGGAGGAGCTTGCCCCGCTCACCCCCGACAGGGTCAGGCCCGGCCCTTGGGGCATGAAGGGCCAGCTCTTGCTTTGAAGTCTCTTGAAGCCCTAAGGGGCTCTAGGGCTTCCTTCTCCTGTTGACAGCTTTCACAGATATCTCCTCTGAAAATGTGCCTAGAAACCCACATCTTCTAGAAGAGAAACCCTAGCCTCAGGAAAGAGACAATATTGTCCCAAGGTAGTCAGTGGCAGGATCCAGCCACAGTCCAGTTCTCAGGCTCCGACTCCATGGGGCTTTCCACCAGGACATCCTTCTTCCGGAGTCCACAGTCTCTGCCTGCCCCCAGTGACACACACACTCACCCACTCACCCACGCATGCACACGTGTACACACGGAGCTCTGCTGCCTCTACTGTAGGCTAGCTCTCTGGGGAGAGGGACTCTCTGGGCATGGATGTGGCAATGATACACACATTCCTGCGGGTGTGAGAAATACAGATGCACTGGTCCTCACACCTCTGTGCCCTGCCTTGGCTGAATTCTTCTGCCCTGAGATGAAGCTGTAGACAGACATGCCTTCCACAGCCTACAGCCTGGTGTCTTCTTTAGGTCCTACTCCCACCCAGCCTGGAGATAAGGCAAGGAGACCAAATCAGTCCTAAGAAAAGTCAGGGTTCTGAGGTCCTTCGGCTGACCGCAGCACCGCCCAAGGAGCACCAAAACATGGGGTGTGGTGGAAAAACCCCTGGGAACTGGGAGGCTGGGAACCAAGTCCTGATCCGGTAATCACCCTGTGGCCTTGGGCGACACGCACCTACTATGTGCCTCATAGGACAGTAGGGGCTCGTGTTGGATGTGCTGTTGGCCCTCCAGGCCCGCTTGGCCCCCTTCCACCCTGCTTGCTCCAGGAGCTGACGCCTGGTCTGCATTAGCCAGGCCCCCTGCCCTCAGGCTTCCCTGTGGGCCCGGCCAGTGGGAGATGCTGACAGGAGGCTGGGCGCAGGGAGGCAGAGAGGCCAAGGTACTTATTCCACCAGCATCCTCCCTGCCAAGCTGCAGGGGGGCAGTGGGTGCTATCCTCCTCCTAAGGCCTTGGTTTGGGAGGGGCAGCCCCTCTTTTGGCCACAGCTCCCAGTGGTCCCAATAACTACTCTGTCCCTGCCCCTTGAGGCCTGGGGCTGGTAACAGCTGTGCTTCACCACCCCTTGGCTTCGCTTATGCCTAGGGCTCTGTAAGGAGTTGCCTCCTTAGACACTCATCTCCTGGGGACGCCGTCAGTTTCCTGCCGGAGCTGGACTAATCCAGCACTTAATGGGCATTTCATTTCCTCATTAAATACTGCCAGATGCCAGCTTGAGACCCAAGCCCACAACACAGGGGCCCTACCTAGGACTCCTGCCACATGCCAGGACATCTCTGTCCTTCTCCCCAGAGGCCGAGAAAGGGCCAATCCCAGGTCATACAGCCAGTCAGGGCAGGAGAAACTGGGGTCCAGGTCTCCTGCCTTCCAGAGCAGGGCTGTCACTCCCTCCCTGGCTTGAGATTGTGGGGAAGACAGAGACTGGGGAGGGGGAAGATGCAGAGGGAGAGGGGCACGAATGAATCCTCTCCTCATTGTCGCCCGCCGCCCGCTCACTGTGGCAGCAGGGTGCCCGGCAGCACTGATTCACAGCTTGGGCTCCCAGACTCTTCCAGCTCCTGGCCTCCTGCAGGTGGCAAAGCAAAGTGCTCCAGTGCCACCTGGGCCACACAGCTGTCCTGGGCTGTGGGGTAACACCCTTGTCCCCTCTGCCAGCTGAGGGGTGACAGAGGCTTCCGTAATCACTAATCTGGATAGCTGTACTCCTCCTTTGCCCTTCTAACACTTTTGTAACCAATCCCTTCGTATTTAAAGTCCCTCTATTTGAAACATGTAGAGTGGTTTCTGTTTTCCTGGGAGTCACTCACTGTTACACTATCTCAATTCTCTCCTTAGACATATCTCTAATCTAAACCCAGAATTAACGTTAGTAACAAGGTAAGATTACACTCAGCCCTCGTGCTTCTGAATTCAGAACGTTGCCCATTGTTTTAACTTTCTAAAGAGCTACCCACATAGAAACTTCTGCTTCTGATAAATTCCACATGACCAGAAGATGGCAGCACGCACCATCCAACTTCACACTCACTTGTGGCCCGGACACCTGGACGACCTCTGCTTCACACTCTGACCTGAAGACAGAGGTTCTCTTTATGGCTGCTGGGGCAGCCCACAGATCATTCTGTTTCCTTTCAAGTGTACACATCAACCAGATAACCCAAACAATAGAGCCCCAAATAAATCCCCAGAATCCTAATCATGTAATAAACTCCCTTTCAAGCATCATGAGGATAGTTTCGCCTTGGATTTCTGGTAAACATTTGGAATTGGATAAACTACCATCCTTAAATAGGACGTAACATTTTCAAAGGGATATCCAGGAAACCTGCCAGTCAGCTAAGCCAGATGGTTCTGGGTCTGCATTTGCTCTTTAATGTGCTGTCCTCAGCGGAGCCTGGGCAGTGGGAGGGGACGTGAAGCACAGCATTAGCAGCCACCAGTGCTGGCCCAGCACAGCTGAAAGCCATTTGCCAGGAGGATCCAGAGCCCTGCCCATCCCCAAAGACTCAGGTGGTTTCCAACATGATTCTGACATTTATCGACTCAAATTCAGCTGATATATCGATCAGCACATGATTCTTTCAATGCCAAAAATTGATAAAAAATAATACGAAATTCCTAGCTCTTCTAACCATTTGGACAATGATCCCAATATTTAAATTGGTGAGAGTTCTCTTAATAAAGCAAATCACTCCATAAACCCTGTAAGGAGTCCCCGGGAGCAAAGGCCCTTTGTATGCTAACATGTTTGTGAAATACATGGTAATGAAAGCACACTTTTGTGAACTTGATGAGAAGATATTAGGAAAAGATTGATCAAACTGAATGACAAGTGTCTGACACTGACATTTTGGGCAAGACCCATGTGAACAATCACAAAGTCCTATTAGTGTTGGAATCTCCATTCTCACCCACAGCTTTTGAGTAAAGACTTGGAATTTCCTGTCTTACTGCGGAAAGTTTTTTTCTTTATAGCTGTTATTGTAACAACATTCTACCAGGGGTGAGACATGAGAGAGAATGACTCAGAGTGTGTGCAGTACTCACTCTCCTGTGTACGTGCCCAGGCATGCAGGTACGTGGCTCTCTCCCAGAGTCCTCACTTGCTCCCACTACACACCTCCCAGGACCAGTGGGCCTGAGCCCAGGACAGAGGCATGGGTCTCTCATGGCCCCTGTGGTGCTGACAAAGGCTGCCTGTCCTCTGCTCCTGCTTGATGTCCACCCCAAGCTGAATTCCCGTTGGACCTGCTCCCGAGATCATCAAGATGGGGGATCGACTCCAGTTTGGCCAGAGCGGCCAACGGGGAGGGTCAGAGCCATTCTGAGTGACTATGAAAACCTTCTGGCTGGAGCCACCCACCCATTTGAAGGACTAAAGCTCACATGCTCCCAAACTGATGGCACCTGACTGCTTGCTCCCTGTCTCTGACTGTGACACAAATCTGGGTGGGTTCCGACATCGAGCAGGGATGGGGAAGGAGAGACACTAGAACCAATGCAGAGTAGCAGCTGCACCACCACCTGGCATGGACAAGACCGGCGTGGCTCCTGCTGCCGTAGGGACAAGGACTTTGGGGATGGCTGCATTTAGAACCACCAGGAGGAATCACATCAGCCTCTATCTCTTCAAATCCTCAACAAAGACCCCTGAGTGGGAGCTGGGGCCTCTGTGTCAGAGGCAAAGGGAGGGTGGGATCTCAGTTACTGGGGAGGGGGGAGGAAGTGGAGGGTCAAGGGGGTGGAATTCTGAAGACCTCAGGGCTGAGGGGCCCTCAGTCTGCCTGTTTTCAGCAGGCTGGCTTCCTGCTGAGGCAGAAGATGGTCTCAATCAAGGGGGCATCAACCTCAAGCCACACGGGATCCAGCTAAGATAGTCTCAAAGCCCACCTCCAGCTACAAATAATTAAAAAACACACACACACACAAGGTGGCCTTCAGGCAGGCAGGCAGCTGAGTTAGGAGCTCCGTACCCCCAGATGGCTTGATTTGGAAGGCAACCCAGTACCCAGATAGTCCCTGAAAAAGACTGTCCCAGGCTAGAGGGGTTAGGGCAGCCCAGAAACAGGACCATGAGAAAGGGCCCCCAAGACCCATGCTGCCTAGAGTCGCCTATAACGATGCTATCCTTGCCCAGTTCCTTGCAAGACAAGTGGAATGCAACTGGAGAAGTCAGAACACTCAGGACTGCAGATGAGGCAGGCCCCTCTGAGATGGCAGACCTGTCCATCTCGGGCGACAGGCCTCCCAGCCCTGTCCTGGATGAACTTCTCGCTTCCTTCAAAGAAGCTCTGACCCAGAGGCCCTGTCCAGAGGCTAAGGAGAGCCCAGCCAGCCCTGTGGCTTGGGGCAGTACCTGGGGGCTATAAGCCCACCCCAGGGTGCAAGACACCACCTCCCTCTGGAGCCTGCCAGGCACGGCGGCCACCCTCATACTAGGCGGGGGCTGGGCTGAGCCCACACATCAGAGCCTGACTCCATGCAGTGTGTTATTCTTTAATGAAGAGCTGGTCAGTGGGCCACCCCTCTCCCCAAGGCACCCTGTAGCAGATGCCCCTCACTGCTGGCTGCCTGTGAGGCAAGGTGGTCCTGAGGCAGCCAGCCCTGCTGAGGGGTCAGTTTGCAGTGGCCTCAGAAAGGCGTCCATCTCTTGGGCCTAGGAATGTGGCAGCAGCAACAAGGCCAGAGGCAGCTAAACTCAGGTCAGGGATGATGAACCCCGGTGGGATAAAGGCCAGTGTCCAGGTGCAGTACAGTCTCCCCTTCTGGCTACTCTCTGGAAGCCCTTAGTCCCCAACTCCCCGCAGACAGGTGTCCCATAGGAAGTAGCCCACAGGGCAATGGGCTCAGGGAGCAGGCTGGGTACGACCCCATGTACCTCAGGGCCTGCAAAATGGGTCCCACAGGGCCCGGGCCAGAGGCACTGGGAGGCTGGGAGTCCACTTTCCACTAACCCTGCTTGTCAGTCACTACAGCATCTAAGAAGGTGGTGTCTCCCTTCACAGCTCCAGACCTGCCCAGGCGGGGCTGAGGCAACCGTGGCCACGGCTCACGTATCCCTACAGATCCGTGACCTTGTTTTCCACAGCGGCTGCAATCTGCTGGAGCCGGTAGCCCAGCTGCATCTTCTGGGCTGTGCCATCCTCCTCCAAGGCCGTGATGATCTGAAACGCAGACACCAACCCCGCTGAGGAGAGCCCTCTGACCTGCTTGTCTGCCGTAGACTTGAACAGGCCTCCTAAGGTGCTGTAGCACAGTTGGGGTAGCGGTCCAGAGAAGCCATGATGCACCTCACTACCTGTGACCTCAGGGCCTCGCCAGTGAGAGGGCATCATAACAGCCAAGTTGCCGTGGGTTTTAAGGATTAAGGATTAGCGAGGGAAGCCAGGAAGTCCCCAGACAGCCCCTCACTGGCACCATCGTGTCTCCTTCTACTTCTAGGCCAGGCTGTGATCCTCCACCTGGACCCCCTCTCTGGCGGCCACGCAGCCCCCAGCAGGGCCTATACCCCAAGAGGTGGCCGTGCACAACACACTGCCGACCGTGGGCTCTGGTCAGGGCAGAGGTGGCAGCTGTGTGTCCCACCCAGCCCACTCGCCCACTGTCTCCTCAGTCCCTCACCACCACCACACCCAGGAGCCCTGCTGAGAAGCTGGTGGGAGCAGTGGGGCAGGTATGAGCACAGCCAACACCAGAAGCATGCCTCAAGGATGTACCCCCAAAGCGCCAAGGGGCCCCGCCCCCCTACTCTGTACCTAGGGGTGACCCCAATGCCCCCCAGCCTGAATCACTGGGCCAGAGCCCCCTCACAGCATCCCCTCCGCCTCCAAGGAAATGACCAACCCAGGCCCACAGTCCTTCCCACCTGGTCGTAGTATTTGTTGATGTACTTGTAAAGCTCGTGCAGGGCCACTCGCGCCCCCAGGTCTCCAGAGAAGTTCTAGGGAGGAGACCAGAGGAGACGTGAGAGGCACAGCCAGCCTCCAGAGAAGCCCAGGACCCCAGGGAAGGGGAGGAGGAATTCCGGGAAGTGGAGGAAGGGATAGGCCCTGCAGTGGGAAGCAGAGCCCCTTTGCAGACCAGGGAGCCTGGCCCAGGGTGTGTTCAGCTGGGGACAGGAGAGGGACAGAGGGCCCTTATTAGGAATCAAATTGTGTCCCCAAAAGTATGTGTTGGAATCCTAACCCCTATACCAGTGGATGTAACCCCATTTGGGAACAGGGTTTTCTTTGTTATGTTAATGAGGCCGTATCAGTGTAGGGCCTGTCTTAACCCTAATAATTTAAACCTAAGGAGCAGATTAGACACAGAGAAGCAAGCACAAATGGGAAAAACACGACTGCCGTGTAGATTGCCGAGGAACTGAGGAAAATCGGGCCTACAGAAACCGAAACAGATCTTCCCCCAGAGATGACAGGGAGCCTTCTCCTAGAGCCCGTGCCCTGAATTCAGACTTGTAGCCTCCTGAACTGTGAGAAAATGACTTTCTGTTCTTGAAAGCCACCCACTTGTGGTATTTCTGTTAACAGCAGCACTAGGCAGCTGAGACAGGCACCTTGGTCAGGAGAGACCCCAGGTCTGTAGTTTCCTGAGGCACTGGGGGGGCTCCAGTCCCAAAGCTTAAAGAAGCCACACTCCCAGCCCCTTCCCACCCACCCAAAAATCTAGGGGGCATGGAAGGGGCAAAGTGAGGTGGGCAGAGCCCAGCACCAGGGCCTGAGGTTTCCACTGGGGCCCTGCCTCTCTGCCCGCCTCTAGGCTCCAGCTCGGACCCTCTGCCATCCCAGCGTATGCAGAGCCCAGCAGGCCAGATGACGCTCACAGGCTGTAAGCCCAGCGCAATTCTGCTCTGATCTAACTCCATTCTTTCCTGAAGGCCCTCCCAGGCCCCACAGTGGGATGTCTCTGAGCGTCAACCTCCTCATCTGGACAATGGAGTTGGCACCGCCTAACCCGTGGAGCTCCTGTGGGAATCAAATGGGATCCTCAGAGCACCTGCTGTAATGACTGTGGTAGTCCTTATCATCATCGTTCCAGAAACCTTGTCTATCAAGGCCCCGGAGTTTACATTTTTGGGCTGTTTTAGGAGTAGCTGGGGGCATGTCTACGACGCTGAGGGAAACAGACAGTAGGAAGACATGGGTCCTGGACCCACAGACCTGGAGCTGAAGCCCAGTCACCTCTCTGCCTTGGCTCTCTTGTCCACACACCCCAAAAAGGGTTGCAGGAATTCAAGCACCTGGTCAAGCCAATTTAGGTGGCAGCTGCCAGGTTAGGTGCCTGCTTGCTCTGAGATGAGATGTTTCGAGCCCCTGTTCCTTTACGGTGGCAGCTGGAACATTCTGCACGTATCACAATGGTACGTGTCCTGCCCCGACCAGCTCACAGGGCTGCTGAGGGCCCAAGGGCTTCCCTGCAGAGTAGTGATGTGAACGGGACAGGACCCTGATGGCAGGAGGCCTGTGCCCAACCCAAGAAACCAGGGAGAGCCTTACCCGGGACAGCTCGGCCAGGATGGAGTTCATCTCTTGATCACTGGCCGGGACGGCTTGTCTGATGTCTGCGTAGTACCTGCCAGAGACCGCAGGCGCTGCAGCAAACCAGGCCACTCTCCAGCCCACCAGTGCCCACCCCTGGGCTTCAGCTGCGACACCCACCAATCCCCACCCACCAATTCCTCTTCTACCCAGTACCTTTCCACCATCTGCTTGTAGCGGGGAATGTCCCGAGCATACAGAAGTTTGTTGATGGGGGAGTCCTGGGCACCAGGAGGAAGGTGGTGAAAGAGGAAACAGGAATAAGAGCCCGTTAGGGGAGTCGGCTTCCTGGTGTTCCCAGCGCTGTTTGATTTTTAAAATTGAAAGTCCTGCATCCCAGGAAGCCCTTCAGTCCCAGCGCAGCAGGACAGCTGGTCACCCATTTCCTTCTGCCAGGTCCTCTCTCTGTGCTCTCCCTTCTTCCAGCGGCCACGCTCTGATGTCTTCACCTTGAGCTCCTCCCCGTTAATCCAAGGCCTTTTCTTAGCTCCACGTGCCTCCGTGTGGCTCCCGCACTGAGCCAGCCCGGAGCGACCGGCGGGGGGGACGTGCAGAGCCGTGAGGAGCCCTAATGCTGCTACTCCATGTGCCTTGCCATTAAGTTCCATTTAATCATTTTGAAAATGAGGAAACTGACCTAGACAATTACATAAGTTGCCCCAGACCACCTCACTCCCAAGTGGCTGGGCTGGAATGTGAGGCAGGTCTCCCAAATGTAGAGCTCACGATTTTTAACACACCCAGGGTGCAGCCTCTACTGCCAACCTGGGTTCAAATCCCAGCGCCTGTGACCCTAGGCAGCAAACTTCACTTCTCTCGACCTGCTGTTTCACCATAAAGCTGCTGGGAGGGTGAAGTGAGATCGCAAGGGTGGCGCCTGCCCTCCCTCATGTGAGCAGGGACGTGCTTCGTCATCAGTTCTCTGTATGGGGGACCCTTGGCACGCGTGGTTTGGACTATTCCTGAGCTACCCAGAAGCCATTTGCTGTTTTGCTGGAAAGGGAGGCAGTGTGAAGATCGGACAAAACACCTGATCACCACTCAGCACCCACCCCTGGAGGTGGCCATGGGTCCTGGTGGGGCCCTAGGGTTCTCAGCTCATCACAGAATGACAAGTGCATGTGGAACAAAAATGGCTCCCAAAAGACAGTGCTACAGGGTAGAACTTTCCATTTTGTTTCCTCACAGAGGTCAACAGATGTATCTCTGAAGAGGCCCCAGGCTGACAGTGGCCCAGGGATCTGAGCTAAGCAGAACCCCATTCATGGATCTTCAGTGCTGAGAGCGCCCTGCCCACTGGGCACCTGAGCAGACACACTGGTGACCCCACATCTGTCATGGGATTCTCTTGGCTTTGGCTACTGTGACAATACATTCCCACCCTCAGTGCTGCCTGACTGCTCTCTCTGCCTCCCAGCTTCCCTCCTCAGCACACTCCTCACACATGGGCATGCCCCGGACTCTCCTCCCCACCACTCCCATGGAATCAAACTCACCAGGCAGCCAGGAGCTGCTTTGGGACAGCAGAGCCACCTCTCTACCTGAAAATCACCTGGCACCTCACAAACACCTTAGGCTCACCTCCTCCAAAGCTGAGCTCACCAAACCCAGAGACCGGGATCAAATGTGACCCCCCCCCTCCCTCAGACCCCACATCCAACCTGTCAGCACAGCCTATAGATTCTGACTGCCCTGTGTCCTCGTACCCGGCTTGAACCTTGTCCCTGCTCATCCGAGGACAGCTGTAGCCTCCTCTTTGGATTCTCAGGCTCTAGTCTGCCCACTGTACAATTACCAGGGTGCACGGCCTAACTCTCAGGTCTGACCAGACCACTCCATGTTCCCAGCCCTTCAGTAGCTCCCCACTGCCCTCAGGGTGAGCCTCACGAAGCGGTGGTGGCCTCCACCCCCAGTCTGCGGCACTCCAGGCTCTGCCGCACCGAGCTGCACTTGCTGCCCGTGTGACTCTGTGAGTTGGCACACGGTGCCCCCACCTCTGCTCATCTCTTAAGACTGAGGCATTGCCACCTCCTAGGGAACCCCCAGGGCAGACTTGCCTGGGGGAGCCTAGAGTCATTCCGGGGGTGGCGCTCACCATCCTCCTGGAATCTGTGTGCATATACAGCACTGTCCACCGTCAGCCCACGCCACCCCTCCGTGCCCACCCAGAGCCTGCTTACCCGGCCCAGCTTGTGGTCGGCTAGGGTGCAGGCATCCATGAAGGTCTGCGCGATGACAAGCAGCACCGCGTCCATGTTGTCAGACGTCTGCACGTCGAACACGAACTGTGGGTTTTTGATTATATTGATCCAGAACCTCAGCGGCAAGCTGCGGGTAGGACAGGTGTGGCCAGTGAGTGTGCTGGGGGGCAGAAGATGACCCCAACACAGGCCTCAAGTCCACCCACCCCACCCCCACCTGTTGGTCTTCCAGATATGGATGGTGTCCTGGTCAGAGATACCATGCTGCTGGGCTTGCTCGTCCAGCAGGTCAAAGAAGTACTTCACAGCCAGCGGCACAGGGCGGCTGGTGCTGAGAATCACCTGGAACAGGTCGTCCACGAACTTCTGCAGAGTGCCCTGTGGGGAAGGGGATGCGGGAGAGCAGCGGTCAGCAAGGGAACCTCGGCACTAGGCCAGCCTCACCCACCTGGTGCCGCTCCACCTGTGTGAGCCCCAGCCTAACCCCAAGCGCCCCCCAGCCCCTACACCACTGCCTGCCCTGACCCTGCTCCCAGCCCTGACCAGTCTCCCCACCCACCTTCATGGACAGCAGGCGGGTCAGGTAGATCTCGGGGATGGCCTTGGCTCGCTCCCGCTCCCCGCTCCGAAGGCTGCCCCTCCGAGGCCTGGGTGGCTCCGGTTCCTCAGTTGGCTTCACCAGGTGCCAGGGCCGGATACCCCCCTCGTCCACATCCTCTAGCATCGGGGTCCCTGTGCCGGGACCCCATAGCTCATCACCCTCATGAGGCACCACCTCCCCTGGGCCCCCGCGGACCTGCCAACGCCGTAGGGGTGGGGGCACCTGGGTGAGGGAATGGGTAAAGCAAGGGTAGAAGACAGTGATGGCGCAGGGGGTACTCACTCTCTCCAGGGACATAATCCTGGTTTTCTCGGAGAACATGTTTGGTGAGGCAGGGGACAAGGGCCACGGTTGCTCCATCCGGGACCTGCTGGCCACAGCTGGTGACCCCTCCGCCAGCCCCATCATACCACACCCCTCCTCCAGCTCCCACCCCTCCCACCTTGTAGTGCTGCAGGGTGTTCAGGCGCCTCCAGAGACCCTGGACCTCCGAGGTGACATCCTCGTCGGAAAGAATGAGGTGCCCAGCCACCCCAGACCGCCACTCTGCAATGGCATGATGGAACTTGATCCAGGGCTTCCAGGGCACCCTTCCCACAGTAAGACTATCTCCTCCTCGACAGGGACACTGGCCTCTCCATCAGGGAGCAGCTCCACCCAACCTCCCCACCCCCACCAACCGGACCAGGGGCCCCTCACCAGCTGAGAGCTCGTCCCCAGAGAGGTGTCTAGAGCCAGCCTCCGCCCTGCTCCCGGGACGCCACTGCCACTGCAGAGCTGGTCTAGGGACAACACAGCCCCAGTGCTGGCTCAGGTCCCCAGCCCAGCACTCCCCCGACCCTCACCAACATCCAGGGTGCGGGAGTCTGGTCGCTGGGCAAGAGGTACTCCTTTATAAAGCTGCTCCAGCATCTTCTCTTTGGCCTGGGAGATGGTGTCACAGTCCAGGACCTTCACAGGCATGCCCTGGGCCTCTCCTGCCCCAGGCCCCACAGCCAACAGCGCATTCAAGGTCTACACAGGACACATGGGAGCCATCAGGGCCCAGGCCACATGTAGGATGACAAAGATGCAAGGCCAAGCACAGGTACAACCCATGAGGAGGCCACCACCTCCTGCCCAGCTCTGACCTCTAAGTGCCAAACGGTTCCTCATTCTTGTCTCTTCACTTGCCTGCCTCCCCCAGGGGCAGCGACTTCCTCTGCCCTGTGACCCAGCACCTAGCACTGTACTAGAAAATGTCCATGGGGTGAATGGCAAAAAAAAAACGAGTGGCCATGAACCCTTCTCAACTCAGCTCCCGAAGATCCTGCCTCACTCGGCTGGTAGGCTGAGGAAGCTGAGTGAAGTGCATAAAAAGCAAGATTCCCCCATTCTGACAGAGGAGTAGGTTTAGTAGAGACCGAATGAAATTTTCCTGAAGAAACTCCTCATGGGTAACTAAGGAGAAGCAAACCCAGAGGGAAGTGACAAGCATGTTGGCAGGGTGGCTCCTCAGCCAGTCTGCCAGCATGGTGGACACCCTGCTTCCCTGGCCAGATGCTGAGATGGTGGTCTGGCAAACATACAGGCCTGGGGCACAGCAAGGACTTGGACTGGTCCAGAGCAGAACTGGCACCTCCCCAGGCCCTGACTGTGGCCACCCAGACTCCATCCCAAGCCTGAGCACACTCTGATGGCCTCTCCCTAAGGTCTGGCGCTCGAGCCTCTATCCTGCTAAGCTAGTCTAAAGGCCTCCCTCCAGGGACCACAGGTCAGGCTGGCTCTATCCCCAGACACAGATACCAGAAGCTGGGTCAGTCGGCCACCCTGGAGCCCGAGCCCTGCAGCCCTTCCCTGCTGCAGCCCTTCTACCTCCCACATACAAAGCTCCACCTCCTAGGCCCTTCCTATGGCAGCCAGAATCCCAGGGCCCCAGTCCCAGCCCCAGGTCTGTCCATTCCTCACCAGTCTCCCCTTGGCTGCAGGGACACTGCAGTCAAAGAATGCGGCCCAGCAGCCAAGAGAACCCTGCTTTCGGACCTTGTCTACCACTTATTAATTAGCACGTGATTTATTAACTAGCACAGAACATACTAGAAACCTCTGTGAGCCTCAGTTTGTTTCTCTATTAACACTGTATACAATGGGGATGCCCTCATGGGGCTCCTGGAAAGATTAAATGAAACCAGACATGCCAAGGCCCAGGTCTGGCCATGTTATGTCTTCCACCAATACCTCAGCCGACAGGAGCAGGCCAGCCAGGTGTCCTGTCCCCGAGCCTACTCCTTGAGTTCCTGGACCCAGCAGTGGAGCTTTACCTCCTTCCCCTCCAGCCAAACCCAGAGGGTGACCTTCACCAAGGGCTGCAGCCCCTAACCACACACCCACACATCCCCACCTTCATGGACCTCACCAGTGATACACCAGACCACACGTCCACGCACACATGCACACGTACACACGTACACACGCACACCCTCACCAGGGGACGGTACTCCACGTCCTCTCTGAGCAGGCGGTTGTCATTCAGGGTATATTTGGCTTTGCCAGTCACACTGTCCACCGGCCCCTTGTCCACTTGGTGCTTAATTCCTCGGAACAGCATGTACAGAGGCTCCCCTACTGAGTCCTGGGGGAGTGTCAGGCAGTTAGGGGCCCCCTAGGCAGGTGACAGGCATGGGACAGAGGTGTACAGGACACACCACACACTGGGGAAGAGGACAGGACACAGGCTGCAGAGGGCTAAGGGGACTGAGGACACGCCGGGTGTGAGTGTCTGACCGGCACAGGTGCACCAGCTTCATGGAGGCCGGAGATTTAGTGGTTAGGGTCCTGATCCTCCCTGGGGGGGCCCCACCCACCTCTGCCTCCCTCACCCTCACGAAGGTGTAGAGACAGATGGACATCCAGTTGGTGAGCAGCTTCTCCACCACAGTCTCTGTCCTGGGATGACAGGGAAGGGGAGGGTCAGGGCCACTAGGTGGGGCTGTGGGGCTCTCTAGTCTGTAGGCCCCAAGACCCCAGAGGCCCTGCCTCAGCTCCTGGGTCCCACCGCCCACAGCCTGCCCAGCCCTGGCACCCATCCCACTGCTTCCCACAGCCACACAGACCTGCGCAGCATCAGCTTGGGGTTCTTGGCCACGTACTGGGCCACAAGGTCACTAAGCAGGGTGCGGAGGATGTCAGTAAAGTATTCGAGCTTCCCATGCAGTGCTACCGTGAGCAGGGATGCCACGTAGGCCCGGTCCCGTGCTGAGAAGGTACGCTGGCTCTCCAGCGTGTGGATGAACTGGGCCAGGGAGAGGGGATGGGATGGAGAGGCAGATTCAGAAAACGGTGGGACAGAAATGGACAGGGCTGGGAGAGTCCAGGCAGGGGTGAGTTGGGGCCAGGAGGGTAGGGCTGGAGGGCAAGGGCACCTTGGTGAGGAAGAGTTTGCTGTTGAGCAGGTTGGAGAGCTGCCCTAGCCCTTGTTCCACAGTGGGCCGCCTGCTCTCAGGCACACCCAGGTCCCGGTGCAAGGGTGACTCCCGGTGCCCGGGAAAGAAGACCCTCTCGGCATACACCTTGTAGTCGAGGAAGGGGATGCCGCTGCCAAGAAGGTCGCTGGTGAGATCGGTCATCTCAGTCATGAGGTCTGTTGGGCAGAGGAGGTAGGGTCGGGACGAGGATCCCACGTGAGGGCAGCTGGCCCAGGCAGAGCCCTGGTGGTGGGGGCTAGTCCCCGCGGCCTCACCTGTGAACTCCTTCTTACAGCGGTCTCGCACACTGCTCTCCAGATTCTCCAACTGAATCTGGACCTTCTTGTAGTCCCTCAGGGCCTGCTTGCTCTTCCTCCTGCTCAGCATCAAGAAGGTTGACAGGAGAAGGCCAGAGGAGGCCAGAGCCCTTGCTGGCCCACCCGGCCCAGCCCTGCCTAACTCAGCTCCAGCCACATCCGGGCCGAGCCCAGCACAGTCTGACCCAGCCACGCCCAGCCCAGCCACAGCCTAACCCAGGACAATTAAGCCTGTGCCTGGTGCCACAGAGGTTAAGCACTTAGCTACTAAATGAAAGGTGGGTGGTTTGAACCCACAATCCGCTCCACAGGAAAAAGATGTGGCAGTCTGCTTCTGTAAAGATTTATAGTCTTGGAAACCCTATGGGTCAGTTCTACTCTGTCCTACAGGGTCGCTATGAGTCAGAATCGACTCAAGGGCAGTGTGTTTGGTTGGTTTTATCCCAGGCAAGCCACACCCACCCACCCATGCTCAGGTCTAACCCAGCACAGTTTAGCACAGGGGTTGGCAAACTAGAACCAGGCCAAATTTGACCCTGTTTTGGTCAATAAAGTTCTATTTGAACACAGCTGCCATGGCACTACAATGACAGAGTCGTGTAGTTGCAACAAAACCACCCGGCCCACAAAGCCTAAAATATTCACTCTCTGGCCATTTACAGAAAATGTCTGCTGACCCCTAGTCTGGTCTGCCCTTTCCCAATCCAACCACACCCCACTGCACGCCCCAGCCACTTCCAGCTGCACCCACCTGTACATGAGGACAATGATGAGGACACCCAGGGCCAGAAGAGAGGTGCCCACCCCCAAGCCCACCTGGGCTGCCACGGGAAAGGCCATGGGGCTCTCGCCATCATACTGCACACGGCCCAGGGAGAAGCGCAGGTTGCCCATCTGCACCTGCAGGGAGCCAGCTGTGAGCGAGGGCTCAGGAAGTGCCCGAGGCCCAGCCTAGCCCGTGGCCTGCCCACCAACCGTGAACTCGGGCAAAGCGTCAGGTGCGTCCCGGAAGGCATGGTGCCGGGGCAGAGGCTGCTCCGTGGGGGGTTCACAGTACAGGTGGTGCCGGGTCAGCGTCTTCACTATGCAGGGGCCATCCCCAATCATGGCCACCACCTCCTCCTTGGACACTGCCAGGTCCAGATTCTCCCCCTGGAACATAAGGTATCACTGATCAGTCACTCAGAGTCTCCCCCAAAAGGAGAAGCAGGTAGTCACTCAGATCCTGCCCCCCACCCCCACACTGGGAAAGATGGTCCTGGGACCCCTTTCCAGGGTCAGGGCTGATGGCCCCTCAGCACCTCTTCCCGTGGCACATGGGGCTGACAGTCAGGAGATGCCCTCCAGGCCCCTCCCCATGACCCTTCTCTGCCCTTCCCTATCCTTCCCGGGGTCTTAGCTTCTCCAGGGCTAAAAATCTAGAGACTTCTCTATAACGCCATCCCCAAAATCCTACTCAGCAGAGTCCCCACTCTGTCTGATGGCCCACCTACTACGTGTGTCAGACAGTGTGAGTCACACTGACAAATGGGTATTGGCCCACTCACCGTGTTCACACTGTGCAGCTACTCTACCGCATGTGCCAAGCCATTTACACATCATCAGATAATCCGTATCACCAGCCCCTGCAGCCCCTACCAGGCCACCCCCCATGAAAGATGAGGAGTGAGTCCATCCACTGGCCCTTGCTCTACCACCCCCCACCCCAAGCAGTGCTGTCCAGCAAGTGAAGGATGTGGGGCCCTCTGTGTCCCAGTAGGAGCAGTACCTCCACAGAGAACACGCTCCCGGGCTTGTGCCGGAATGGTGTGCTGGGGTCCTCCGGGTTGAGGGGATACAGTGTGGGGTCGGCCTCATAGGAGAAAGGCATGGGGTTCAGTGTTGCAAAGTCAAAGACCAGGCTGTCAAGGACAAATTCCACCTGGACCCAGGGGCTCTCAGGCAGGCCCGGGAGGGCAGGCGTGCGGCACGTGATGAGCTGGGAGGAGTTCACGTGGCATGGCTCCTCAAACTGGTACAGAGGGAGGGAAGACAGGGGAGGGTCAGCTGACGGGGCGCGAGGCAAGGGAGCCGAGCAAAGATGGGGAGGGCCTCCTCTGGCACCAGCCATCCATGGCTGTTCACAGGGTGTGGTGTGGGGCAAAGGGTGGGTGGCAGCTAGCCCAGTGCAGGTGGGGATGCCCAGGGTGTCCTACGTGTTGACCACCACAGGAGGCTCCAGGGGAGCATGCTGTCTCCAGGATCATGCGGCGTCTCCGACCAAGCCCCTGGCCAGGCCGCAGCGCTCTTGGGGCCACAGTCACTCGGATTCTTGGCGTCTGCACCACATCCAGATTCTGGCCATGCACCCGTATCTCACGTCCTCCACTGAAACACAGACCAGGAGCCACTCGTCATGGCCATGGGACACAGGCAGCTCCCACCCCTCACGGCATATGTCACCCAGGCTCTAAAGCCCAGCCTGGTCTTGCTGGGCTAGCTCAGCCCCAGCCCCAAGCCACATGGGCCCCTCTCCCTGCCAGCAGCGTGGGATTCCTAACCCTCACATAAAGACCTACAAACCTCCCCATGCACCGGAGCTGCAATGATCCCCATCACCCCCTGCCACGTGCTACGCACCTGATGAAGCTCTTGGCGGGGCCGGCAGAGGTGACATTGGGGTCTGACGTGTACTGGAACTGGCTGTGTCGGAGCCTCCGCTCGGTGGCCCCGAACCACACGGACACAGGGAGCACGGCAGGTGCAGGGTGTGGGCTGGTCTCACAGCGCAGCTGATCCGACTGCTGCTCCGGCAGCCTGGGGAGGGTGGTGGGTGTGGAAGGGCTGGCCAGGCAGCACTGGAGGGGACTCAGGAAGGGGAAGGGGAAGATTGGGGGACATGGGACCCAGGACCCACTCAGGCCTCAGCTCACTCCCCAGCCTCAGGGGGGTCTGGCCGCTGTCAGAGGGAGTCTACTTAGCCCTCTCCCCCTTTCTGCCCCTGCGTCCCTCTGGAGCATATGGATTTTTGCAGGATGAGAACAGCTCTCACAGGTGACACAGCTGGTCTCCAACCACTACTCGGATGTCCTCCAGGTGCCCGGTCAGAAGCTTGGAGCCGTGCAGGGTGAGGCAGGTGCCCCCAGCTCTGGGGCCACGGGCTGGGAAGATGGAGTACACCTCTGGATCCTATGAAGAGGGGGACAGGGAGAGGCAGAAAGGTATCAGCCCACAGATGGCAAGGCAGGGGGAGCCTGAGGCAGAAAAGAGGGTCCTGGGGTAGGAGAGGAAGAGCCCTATGAAGCAAAATCAGATGGGGTGGGAGGAGCCACCAGAGGGGGTGACCCCTTGGCAGTGGGGGTGGCTCAGCAGCCTGGCACCTGGTAGGCAAAGTCGAGCTCGGAGACACCATGTCCTCTTCCCGGCACCTCCACGGTCGCAGGGCCTTTCACCTCCTCCCCGCTGAGCCCAGTGATGCACACAAGGCTGTAGGGATAAAGTAGGCTGGGGGCCCAGGCTATACCTAGGGCCCCCCAAACTGTCTTGGCTGTCCCCCCTCCCACCGCCTCGCTAGGTCAGGCAGTCTCCTTCTGTCTCCTCCCCCAGGAGACTGTTAGCTTTGAAGGGAATTCCTCATGGCAGGCTTTCACATCTGAAGATTACTATTTGTGGTTTCAATCATCCAAGTGCAACCCCTGAGGCCCCCCAACAAGGAGGAATTTATCCCTTTGTTGTGGAGCAGATTTATAAAGGAGCCCTGCCAGGCTGGCCGTGAGGGCGAATTGCTGAGATGAGCGGGCCTCACCAGCCGCCCGCATCCTCCACCACCGTGTGCACGGCAACGCTCGCAATGAGGTAGAAACGTTATTTCCTCATGGAAAAAACGTCCCTGGGAGACCTAGTCAGACCTGGGGATAAACGTGAAGGGAAAGTGAACCCTCTACGAAAATGATGGTTCTCAGCCCGAAAACACAAGCTTGCGGCAAATTAATTTCCAGAATGTTGAGCCTGCGGGGGCTCAACTCCGTGATATTGTCACGGTCCCTGCAAACATGCCAGGAAAACAGAACACGTGATGTGTGAACTACCCAGGAGAGGCTTCAGCCAGAGTATACTTTAATCGTTTTGTAAAGTACTTCACAAATTACTTTAGTCTGACGGTTCTGGAATCGTTAACAGTCTAGATAGTCACCTAAAGTTTTCAGTCAAAACATATCTGGCGGAAAAACTACACGCTCTAGTAGAATGGCTCCTTGCTAAAAAATAGAGATTCTAGGGCCTACCAAATGCAGATCTCTGAGTGGGGTCTAAGGACCTGCTCTGGGTTGGCTGCAGACAGGTGCTCCAGGCAACCCTGAGATTCAGCCTGGTTTGGGACCTGCTGCGAGCCCCAGGAAGGCAGCAGGGTCCCCGGGACTGGACAGAGGAGCCTGACACTCAGAGGGTGTGACACACATCTACCCTCCTGCGAGGCTCAGCTCAGGGCAGTGCTCGGGGAAGAAGGCTCAGCTGGTAGGAAGAGCAACCCTGAGCACAGCTGTCTGAGAGCTGAGGACCTGTTACCATGACTGTGTTGATGGTCACTCTGAAAGCCAGGTAAGGACACCTACACAGAGCCAGGAGGCAGGGCCACCTGTCAGCTGTAGGCAGCCGCCCTGTCCCAGGTAGGCCCAGGAATGAGCCCCCGCCCCCAGCAGCCCACGCCAGGAAGCTGCAGGAGGGCACTCCAGGGTCTCGGTGGCAATCTCCAGTACTGAGGCATTGTCACCAGAAGCGAGGAAAGGGGCAGGGGGAGGGCAGATGGGTGGCCCTGGGCAGGGTGTGCCCTGCTCCTGTTGGGTTCTGCCAGCTCACCTGCTGGAGACCTCATACTCCTGGATGTCCACAGCACAGGGCACTCCAGCCACCCTGACTGTGTCCTGCACGTCTTGTACATGCTGGCCCAGGTTGGAGCCCCTGATGGTGACACGGGTACCTCCGTCCACGGGCCCAGTCAGTGGCTCCACCTGTTCCAGGACAAGGACTGCTTACCTCCACCCACCTGTCAGCCCTGGCAGCCTGGAGAGGCAGCCCCAGCCTCCCACCCTTGGGCCCTCTGCACTTACGGCACCTCACCCTCCCTCTAAGGATAGCAGTAAGTGCCTGCGCTTCAACACACCGAGTGGATGAGGGGTGCAGGGCACTGGGTGGCCACAGCCCCAGCCTCGCCACAGGCCTCCCGGGCCACGCAACGTGGACGCTCCCCCTCGCACCACACACAGCCATACTGGGGCATGGCAGTTTGGCAGCGGCTGCAGTCCCCGTGTCCCACGAAGCAGTCATAGAGTACCACTGGGGGTGGCAGATACAAGTGTGAGAGGCAGGCCCAGAAGAGCTCTTCTGCCCCGTGCCAGCCCCAGCAGCCCCCAGGGAGCTCACCGTGCAGCCCATCAGCACTGTCCACACGCAGGCGGCTAGCCCGGCGCAGAAACAGCCCCACACGGAGCTCTGGCTGTAGAGCCTCGTAACTGAGCTGGAGAGATGGTGTTGGGGAAGGATTGCTGTCAGAGCCTGGGTCTGGGGGAGGTACCAGGCTCGGAAAGGGGGTACTCAGACAAAGGACTGCAATGACTAGCTCTGGGGGCACAGGGTCAGACGTCTGAGCAGAGGTGCGGGGACCCCTGGCAGCACTGGGTCATAGGCAGAGCTGGGGCACAAGGGATTGTATAGCCATAGGGTGCAGGGACCCCATGGGGTCTCAGGGTCTGAGGTCAGAGGTGGGGTATGAGACCCTTTGGGGACACAGCATCAGAGCTTGGGCTGGGACAAGCGTGGTGCAGCCAGCTGAGGCTGGCAGCCAGCCTATGGCCAGTGCCCCCTTGCCCACACTGGCACTCGTGGTCTGCACCTGGTACTGTTGGCACGTGACATGGCACCGAGTATCCGGAGGTGGCTCACACTCCACCTGGGCTGCAACCACCACCTCACGGCCCTCCAGCTCCATCACACACTCAGTGTCTCCAGGGCTATCCTGGGGGCAGAGCACACAGCTGTTGGGGCAGCTTCAGGAGCTGGGCCCAGGGAGTCCCCAGGTCCCCCAGCCCCACCTCTGGGCTGATGCCATGCCCTCTTCCTGCTCCCAGGAGACCCCGCCCAGGCTCTCACCCCAGGGCTGGTGTACAGTTTGTGAACAGCCACGGGGGCCTGAAGGACACCTGCCAGTGGGACACGCTCACCTGGAAGAGGCGCAGGTTCCTGCCTAGCAGGCGGACCTGGCGCTCCACGAGGACTGGAATCAGCATGGAGCCCTGGACGCTCTCCACACAGGGGCAGGCGCTCGCCCCCCAGCCCACCTCTTCCTGCGGGCCCAAGAGCAACGCGGTCCATGGACACCCCCCACCCCGCCCCCAGTCCTCTCCGGGCAGAGTCCCAGGGCGAGGCCGGCGTGGGGCAGCAGATCCCACCCTGCCCTCGGTCCCGCCGACACAGAATCGCCAGGCAAGCAAGGGGCTGCATCTTCCCCGCAACCCTCCCTGGAGGCCTCCTTCCTGGGCTTGGCCTCACCAGCTCCCAGAGCCCGGGGGAGTCGTACTGGTAGTCGAGGCTGGACAGGAGGATGAGGGGGGCAGGAGGGCCCTCGTGCTCAGCCGAGTCTCCATCACCTGAGAGGAGGGTGGAAGTGGAGAAGGCGGGCGCGTCACCTCCCGGCCGCTCGTCCGCCTCCGGCAGCTCGCCGCCTTCTCTCATTAGCCGGTCCAGAGTGGGCCTCGTGGAGCCCACAGCCCCTGGGAAAGTGGTGGCAGAAGCAGTGCCATGGGGCTGGTCCAGGGGTACTACAGAGGGGGGTGTCTCAGGGCCAGGGTCTGCAGGGCCAGGGAGCAGTGCTGCTGCATCTGAGGGTGGTGGGTGGGGGGCCGGGAGATCCTCAGGTGTGGCTGTGGGTCCAAAGACAGTGGGGATGGACACAGCGGTTTCAGGTCTGCTGGGGGAGCCTGGAGTGGAGGGCTCTTCCTGAAGAGGTGACTCTGTGGGGGTAGGGGCAGGTACGGGGCCAGGGCCTGTCCCCGGCCCCCAGGGGCTGAACATAGAAGGTATGGCCCCAGGTGGGATATCTGAGATTGTGGCTAGGGAGGGAGCCCCAGGCTCCACGGGAAGGGTGTCAGGAGCAGGGGTGACTATGGTTTTAGGGGCCATGGGCGAGAAGGGGGTGGGCACATCTCCTGCAGGAGGGGCTGGAGAGAGAAGCGGGCTCTGAAGGGGAAGCAGAGAGAGACAGAATGGGCCACTCAGCAGGCAGGTGCAGGAGGAGGTGGCAGGCAGGCGAAGGGTGTGTTAAGAGGAAAAGGGGACCAAGGAAAAGAGAAACAAAAACAGCCCATTAATTCTCCAAAGGAGAAAGCGGGGGAAGGCTCCAGGGGTGTCTGTGCTGAGATGGGGCCCGAGGCCTGGACCTCCCTGACTCTCAGCTACAAACGTCCTCTCCCAAAACAGGCAGGACATATTGGCAGCTGCTCGCCCGTGAGTCGGTCACACACACGGCAGCTCAGGTGCCCAAACGGAGTCTCACGCGGGCAGGCAGATACACAGACCCCGGGCCAGCAGAGAGACCTTCACACTGGGGACCCCAAACCCCCTATGGAGCTCAGCCTGGAGTCATGCTCACCTGCTGGCTCACCACCATGGGCCCGGCATCACACGAGGCCTTGTGCGTGCACAGGTGCTGCCAGACGCACCAGTTACACCCCCAGCGGCTGCTCACGCAGGCCTGGCACCTGCAAGAGCACAGCCATGGGGCAGGGGTCGCCACACGGTAGCCCAGGGGCTGGGGGTCAGGGTGGGGAACTCACTGTGCAGACAGGTGGAGCTCGGTGACTGCCACGCAGTCATAGAAGGAGAGGGAAGCTTTGACGATCTCAACAGTGCCAAACCTGAGCTCCACACTCACAGAGACGTGGTCTGCAAAGTGGGGCAGGGGGCCAGGGCTGAGGAATGGGAGGGGTGCTCAGACCCATAGCCAACACCCGACAATCACAGAGAGCGGTCAGCACCCCACATGCAGAGGGGAGCCCAGGGTCGGGGGGGACACAGCCCACGGGGCGCAGACTGGGGATTTTGGGGGGCTGGGATTAGTGGGGACTCAGAGAAGGGCAACAATTCTGGGTTCTCTGCCTGGAATCACACCTCACCCCAACCACACCCCTTGGAGCAAGAGGGGAGCACCAGCTCACCCACCGGCTCCTCTCGGCAGTGCTGGGGCCTTGCTAGGGTCTGGGGAGGGGCACGTCACCCCAGAACTGGTCAGCAGGGCCGGACTCTGGTGCTCCCCAAAGTGGCAGGAATACGACTCCCCAGGCTGCAGGGGAGGCAGGTCTGGCACCGACAGGAAAATCTGCCAAGACAGCCCAGGACACACTGCTAGGCATCAGGCAGAAGACCAGGGCTCACTTGGAGGGGGCACCCACTGTGGGCGGGCACTGCGGCCACCAGCCACCGAGCCTTCACAAACACCTCTGGGGTCTGGGTGAGCAACAGCAGGAAAAATCGAGGTTCTCGAGACAAGTGACTTGTGCAAAGACCTGCACATCCGACATCAAAATCTAAGGTCTCTACCCGTCACCAGAGGCCTCCCCACCAGGGTCTCCGGCCTGCCCTGATCACTTACCTCCCTCCTCTCCTCTCGGCTGATGTTGGAAGGACTCATGGTTGCCACTCGCAGACAGCTCGGCTCTGGATGGAAGCTCCACAGCCACCTCTCTGGGCCCTGGCCCCGCGAGCACTCAGAGCGGCGGCTACACCTGAGTGAGAATGACCACCGTGCCCCTGTGACCCTCATGGGGCCACTGGGAGTTCACAGGGTAGGGACACCTACAATCCCATGGGCTGTCACGAGGGACCTGGGGAGGGTCCTCAAGTGGGCTGTGGCACCAGGCTCCTGTGTCCGCCCTGGTACGGCACTGATGCACAGGGTGGAGGATGGGGGCTTGAGAGTCAAGGGCCAAGGATGCCGAATCCCAAGCCAGGCAACTATGCAGGATCATGAGGGTATGAGGCCGGTCTGGGGCTGGAGCCAGGGAAGGGGTCAGGGGCCAGGGGTTGGCGGAGCACTGACCTGCCAAGGAGCACACACCACCCACAGTAAGGGTCCCTCTGAGCAAGGCAAGATGCACAGTCCAGGTGCTGGGCACAGGAGAACACAGGAACTTTGAGAAGCTGTGACAGCAAAGAGGACCTGAGGCCAGCAATCCAAACACCAGCAGCTCACCCACATGTGGGGCCCTGGCCCTGCCCGGAGGCATCTCCCAGCAGCCATGCCCCGCCTCTTGCCTGGCACTCACTGTGCTCTGGGTCATGACGTACAGGTGCTCAAAGGTCCTGTCGAAGGTGAGGTCTCTGCTCACCGCAGACCCCTGCTGGATGCTCTGCGTGGAGTATGACTGACCATCGCTGCCCGGGCCCAAGTAAACCTGAGATTAGAGACCACAAGGTCTGGGGCCCAAGTCCATGGCCACAGGACTTGGACCCAGGACCCTCCCCAATGAAGCAATGTGCAGGTAGAATTTCCTCCCGGGAAATCACTGTCCAGTCTTGGAGGACAAGTCACAGATAAACACCTCCTAGCCCTGGAAGCAGGACAGGTCATACCTCCCAGCCCTGGAGTGGGGGAGGGAGGTGTCACAGGTCACACCAACCAGCCTTGGGAGGGGGGTGTCAGATAAACACCACCCAGTCCTGGGAAGAGGATCATAGGTCCAGCTAGGAGGGGCTGAACCCTCCTGGACAGGTCACACATCTCAGCCCCAGAGGTCACAGGGATAGCTCTGCCCAGGCTGGGTCCCCAGCAGCCCACTTCCCACTCCCCACTCTGCCCTAAAGACCCTAGGGGGGCCCAGTGCTTCCTGTGGACTTACCCTGTGCAGCTGCCCTTGACTATCACCCAGGAAAGCGATGGTGTGTCCATCCTCCATGGTGACGGCCACAGCTGTTAGCTGAACCCCTGGCCATTCCAGAATTGGCGTGGCTTCCAATGGGACGCGGCTGGCCATGGGGCTGGGTGTGTGGTCTGAGCCACAGGGATAGGCATCCAGAGTGTCCTGCAGGCAGCAGGAAGCATTAGTAAGGCCCTCCCTGGATGACTTCTCCTGTCCCATCCTGTTAGGACAACCTCATCCCTCTCCCCCATCTCTCTTGGGAATGGCCCTGGACAACCTCATCGCTGCCCCTGGACTCTTTGCTGGCCCTCCTTGACAACGCTGCCCCTGGACAACAACGCCCACAGCCACATCCTTAGCTTGACCTCAGTGGGCTTATGTCCAGCTGCCCTGGATGGTTTCCATTGGTTCCTTCCCCCCCTTTTGACCCCTGCCTCCATCTGTAGGTCCACTCTCTCCCATCCCGAGCCTAGGAGCTGCTCCATCAGGTTTATCTGCTCAGCCTTCTCCTGGACCACTTCTCCAAAGCCTCTCACAGCTTGCACCCTCATTTCCAAGTCTACCCACTGGACCCCCTACCTGCACCTTCTCCCCTTTTCCATCCATCCTGAAGGTATAGCCAAACAAGTCCCAACCTCACCTTCTTCTCTTGCTCAAGAACCTAACATAGGTCCCATCCCCCCAAAATTCAGGGTCTCTGCCCCATACCCTTGAACCCCAAACACTCTCAGTCCACCTACACAGATGCCACCCCGTCACCGCCTAGTCCATCTCTGCACTGCTGACTCCCCAAATGCCACGCTTGTGTTAAGGTATCCCTCCACCACTCAGGCACAAAGGACACACTGCACATCTGGGACCTGACCACCCCTGACCCCATCAGCTTCCTTTCGGACTCCAGGGGCAGCTGCTTGAATGTCTGGCCAGTTGTCTCAGAGATGGGAAAGGACAGGGGCGGTGTCGAAACTCACCACGGGCAGCTGTGCACAGTCAGAATTGACATCATACTCGATGTAGGCCACCTGGGTCCCGTCCTCAGCGCGGCCCTCCCGGGTGTAGCAGGCATCTCGTGTGCGATTGGCAAGCCGGTCCACCTCATCCAGGGGGAAGGCACAGAGCGCCGAGGCTCCAGATGCCCCGGCAGCTGCCGACGGGGGCCGGCCCACGGCAGGCGGAGCAGCCGAGGAGAAGGCTGCAAAGAGCACCTCCCCACGGGCCACCTCCCCAGACACGGCCACAGCCGCAGCCTGGACCAACCCGTAGCGACCGCCCTGGCAAGCCAGGGGCAACTCCACGTAGGAATAGTAGTGCTGGTCCCGGAGGCACACACGGGACACATAAGGACGGAAAGCTCGAGACTGAGCCTGTAGGTCCCGCCGCAGGAACAAGAAGTAGGCGCTGGCCCCGTGCGCAAAGGCGCTCACAAAGTGGTGGCTGTATTCAGAGAGGCGGCCCACTGCCAGCTTGGCCGTCTCCTCATAGGAAAAGACAGCCTGGGGGTCCAGTGGCCGCAGGGCCCGGGTCGTGATGGGTGGGATACCACCCCCCACGCCCCTGCTGGTGTATCCCCGCCCCACAAACAAGAGGGGATCCCCAGCCAGGCCCTGGGCCACCAGCCCCACTGTGCTGACCATAGGGTCATTGGCGGCTACATACTGGGTGTCCCCAGGCCGCTCTGGCCGCAGCAGCAGCTGCTCGAGCTGCCTGAGGCGTCGCTGCTCACAGACCCCCTGGTGCACACTCCCGCACACCACTAGGGCCCCCGGGCTCACCAGGAGCAGCTGGTTCGGGTTGTTGGTAAGCTGGGCCTGTGGGCACTCGTCAGGCATCACGGGCGGCAGGCAGTCCCTGCTGTCCAGCACAGGGCCAGTGGACACTGCCGCTTCCAGCTGCAGCCCTGGGCTCAGCTGGAACAGGAAGTTGGTGGCCCCTAGGTAGAGGGTGCCTGAGGTGGGGTCCCGTGTCAAGTGCTGCAGCTGTGTGCCGTTAGGAGTGAAGGCAGCCGGGGGTGGGGACTGGAGGGCGAGGACCCACCCGGCCCAGAGCGCCGGGAGAAGAGCTAGGCCGAGGGCAGGCATGGTCACCTGGCAGGGAGAGAGGTTGAGCAGGGCTCACATGGCCACCAGAGTGCACCAGGCCACCGGCGAGGGATAGGGCTATGGTCACTGGGGGCAATGACCTAGCCCAGATGCCCCCCAACCTAGGGGAGTGAGTAGGGGGACCAGATTCAGATAAGCACTGTGGTCCAGGTCAACCCCCTGTCCACACATCACAGGGGGCCAGAAACAAGAGTCTTTCCCTGAAAATGCCAATACTGCCCCTTCTCTGCAAACACCATTCTGTCAGGGGATCTGCAACCTACCCCACCCTCACCTTGCACTGCCCGTGACACCACAGAATTAGAGGGTGAGGGGCTGGGGTGGGGCAAAGACTGGGGAAATAGCCCATCCCCAGGGGCCGGGGCCAGGAGGAGGCAGGAGAGCGGGGCGGTGGGAAGGAGGTGCATAGACCCTAAGGAGGAGAGGCCCCCTCTGCATAGATGTGGGTTTTCTGAGCAGGAAGAGGAAGAGGGAAGGCTGGGGCCCCATGGACCACCTGCATGGCAGGGCTGGGCAGGAGCTGGGTGAAGGACCTTTTAGTTAGGGTAATAACTAACCAGCCAGAGAGGGAGGTTAAAGCTGGCTGGGTTGGGGCCTGAAGTCTGTACCCCACTTTAGAGAGCCCCCAGCCACCATGGAGTCACACTACTCACAGGTGTGAGGTCAGGCTCACCTGGCAGGGCCGGCTGCGTCAGGAGACAACGGCATGACCTGCGTGGGAGTCACCTAGCCAGGGAGAAAGCAGAGCATGAAGCTGGGGGCGGGGCTGCAAGCATGTAGAAGCCCTGGGCACCCCACTCTGGAGGCAAGACAAAGATACCCCCTCCCTGCTGCCCAGCCTGCCGGTGGAGCTGGGCCCAGCCTGGCCATCAGCCACCAAACACATTCCACAGGGGACGCCTCCTCGGAGCCCACACGGGGAGGGGGAGGGCAGCGGAACCAGGCACCCGCAGGGCCTGGGAAAGGGCAGCTAGGAAAGAGCCCCATGGCTGGCAACCCCGTCAGGACCCCAGCACAGGGCCTTCCCTCTCCCCCACACGGCCCCTTCATCTCAGCACTCTCCCAGTCCCACCCTCGCCCAAACTCCGCTCCTCAAGGCACCCGTCCTCCACACACGCCAAAGGCTGTCCCAGCCCCAAACCACCGCCAGCACATAGCCAGATGCACACTTACTCAGCACTTACACCCATCAAGACGCACACGCCACACAACCTGCACGCACACACCCACACACAGCACATGGGCACTTGAACACACACGCGTGTGCAAATACAATCTGTACACGCACTATAGACACATCTACAAAAATGCAGGCATACACACTACCCAGACCCACCATCCACATTTAAACATCTGCATAAGGACCCCCCCCACACACACACTCTACACAGGCACACATCACATACACTCACCAGGGACACACACGCCACCAGCCACATTTAGACATTTACATGTACAGACTCACACACACCTCCCTGGTTCAAGCCCCGAGTCCCAGGGGATTGTGGAAGCCAGGCCAGCTCTTGGCTGTTTTCTCTGCTGCAGGTCAGAGCAGAGCTAGGGCACACAGTGTGGGGTAAGTGAAGAGAAAGGGGTGAAGAGGGGGGCGTCCTGGAGGCAGTCACCAGGCCTGACCGTGCCCACATCCCCGGAACTTCCCCAGACTCAGGTGCTTGCCCTCCTTACAGACCCTTCCTTGCAGGCCCCAGCTGAGTCTCCAGACCAGGAAACTGGCAGCACCACCTTCCCCAGCCTCCAGTGGTCCCTAGCCAGGAGCCTCGAGGTTGGTGAAGTGCTGCCCTAGGCCCCGCATCCCAGGCTAGGAGACGCTCTCCCTACCTGCCTGCGCCCAGGCCACAGTCTGGCCCCTCCCACCACCCAGCTGCCAGGCAGCCTGAGCAGGCTGTCCTGAGAGCTGACAGCCTGGGTCAGCTCATCCCAGTGGAGGCTGCGGCGGGTGCTCCTGAAGCTGCCCAGGGGCCGGGCTGGGCTCAGGGCTTGAAGGAGGGTCCAACAGCTCGATGGGAGCAGGGGAGCCGTGGCTGCAGCCCAGTGGAGCAGGGGGGCCGTGGCCACAGCCCGGCTGGGCACTGCTCCCAAAATAGCTTGGGGGTTTCCATTTTTAGTGTGCAGAGAACAGGGCAGCTCTATGGGAGCAGGAACAAGGCTGCCTCTGTTTGCCACCCGAGGGGGAGGGGCGACGGGGGGGGGCAGGAGAGTCGCAAACCCGGCCAGAAGCCCAGGGCTGTGGCAAGGCCACGCTGCCCAGAAGCCCCCCACCTTGTTTCCAAGGGATGAGGGAAGAAAGTTTCTCCCCCTGGGAAAACAGGGCCAGCGGAAGGATGGGCAGAGGCCAACTCCTGCACTCAGGCCCTGCCCACTCCCTCCTGCGCCTGGGGCAGAGGGTCCCTATAGTTAGGCCAGCGTTCACTCTTTCATTGGCTTACAAATATTTGCTCAGAGCTTGCCGCGTGCCAGGGTTCTCCAGTCCTCAAGGAGCAGTGACCAAACCAGTCCCCAAAAGTAAAATCACAACTGGGCTTAGAGGCCCACGGGAAGAGGATAGGGTGGGATCAGAACAGTTCTCGGCCAGGCCACATAGGAGGTCGGGGGCTGGCCCACCCTGGCCCACTCCAGGGAAAGCTATCAGGCTTCTTCAAGCATCGTCCTCCTGAGAAACTGGGCCTAGCATCCTCGCCCTTCCCCACATACCACGGGTGGGAGTGGACACTGGGCGGGGGGGAGGAAAGGAAGAAGGGCAGTGGCATTTTCTCCTCCGTGTTGGGCTTTGTGCCATGGTACGTCACTTAAACTCTGCCACAGGCCACAGAGCAGCCCCCAGCCCCTCCAGCTTACTCCCCACCTCTTGCCACCTTGCTGCAGGTCAGAGCAGAGCTAGGGCACAGGGTGTGGGGTAAGTGAAGGGAAAGGGGTGAAGAGGAGGGCATCCTGGAGGCAGTTACCAGGCCTGACCATGCCCACATCCCCAGGACTTCCCCAGACTCCAGGTGCTTGCCCTCCTTACAGACCCTTCCTTGTAGGCCCCAGCTGAGTCTCCAGACCAGGAAACTGGCACCCCAGGGCCTGAGGGATAAAGGTCAAACTTCTTGATGCCCCCTCCCAGCCTACCAGTGCCACTGAACCCCCACACATGCTTGTCGTTCCTGAACTGCCGGCCTTTCACGCCCTCATGCCTTTACACAGGCTGTTCCCACTGTCTGGAACGCCCACTCCCTCTCCGTCCCATTAACCCCTATACCCAAGCACCCTCTCCCGGGCCCTGGAGGAGAGAGTTCAGTGTGGTGGATGGAATGGACAGACCCAGCCACCATCCTGGCATGTACTGTAGCTCTGCCTCGGGCTTTCTGAGTTCCCATTTGTCGAATGGGAGGCAGGGCGTCTCTGACCAATAAATGTGATGTGGTGTGTGCCTGGCACTAGCGGTCCCCAACCGAGGCCACTTTTCTCCCTCTTCCACCCTCCCACTCTGGACTTGAAGCTCCTTGAAGTCAGGGAGTGTGGCTTTTGATTCAGAGGCCCCAGCTACTAGACATTGTCACAGAGCAGGTGTTCCTTGCATGTTAAAAGAACCCCCATTTCACAGCCAAGAAAACTCAGTTGGCAGGGCAGATATAGGGCCCATACCCCTCACCAAGCCACTTGACCTCTCAAAGGGCAAGGCGTCAACCTCATTTTTCTTAGTGACCAAGCCAGAGCAGACTGAAAAGGCTGGTTTGGGAGCCTCACATCCCTCACTTGCACAGCCAGGCTCTCTGCCCACTCCCCAGATCTCAGACCCACCCCAGGCTCACAGCCAAAGTCAAACTCCACCTGTGCCCAGGCCTGCCCTGCCGCCTCTTCTGGGCCCACCTTTCTCTGGACCTCTTCACAGGGCCCGAAGCCGCCTAGCTTAGTCTGCCAAGAGCAAGCACCTCCCAGGCCCCCCTGAAACTGTCCTCACCAACCGAAGGGGCTAACAACCTCTGCCCTTCCACACCTATAGAGGAGCCGTACTTCAGCCCACGTTTGCGACGTCTCTGGCGTTGGTGGGAAACTGGCCTTTCCTTTCTGCCCTCCGGCTCCACTCCCAGGATTCACCAGGAAGCGGGTTACTCATTGACAGTGCAACGGTGCAGAACACCCGCCCTGTTTTCTGTGTTAAGGTGGGGTGGGGAGATCCACCATTCACCACGCGCCCACCGTGACCCAAGGAGCGCTCATCAATCACGCACCGTCTGTGTCTGTGTACGGAGGGTGGGGAGGGGGTCCCCTCTGCGGGTGTGCGGCAGGAGAACCGTGGTCCGCCTTTGTTACCCCGCCGAGCGCAGTTTGGAAGGGCTGTTACTACAAGGGGAAGCCTCGACCTCCCCATTCGGCTCTTCCCCAAACCTTCTCTCTCTCCCCCGGGCCGCGAGGCAAGGACTCCACGAGTGGTCCTGGGAGGGCGGGGAAGGGGCTGTCCGGTCCCCGGCGCGGCGGCGAGGAGGGGGCGCGGAGGAGCAGCTCCACCTCCTCTGTCTCCCAATCGCGTTACAGGCGGAGTCGCCAATTTCCCTTCGCGCGGAGAAGTGTGGTCCCAAGTCTCAGGACTGAAGCCGCCCACTACTCACCCGGACCGCCCCGGCCCGGCAGAGATCGAGGCCTCAGGCCCTTCCACCTCGGGGTCGCCCGCCTCGCCCCGGTGCCCGCTGCCCTGGCCCTGGCCCCGCACTCACCGCCCGGCGGGGCCCGCGGGATGCGCGCGCCAAAGAGGCGCCGGCTGCTCCGGGCTCGGGATCTGCGCTCGGCGGCCTCGCCCCCCCGGAGGTGGGTCCGGCGGAGCCGCAGCTGTTACCCGGAGACTGAGGGGCGGAAAACCGCGCCCGCTGCCCGCCCCTCCCGCTGCGGCGCTGCCACCGCCGGGAACAAAGGAGACAAAGCCGCGTCGGCCGAGCCGGCTCCGCTCCTTCCCCCCGACCTCGACCGCCGGGCCACCCTCCCCCCACCCGCCGCCCGGGCCAGGCCGGAAGCAGCCGGGCGCGCGGCCCCAAGCCGCCCGGGACCCTGCATTCCAATCCCGCGGGATCCGCTTTAGCCACG